GGGAGGACAAGTGGTGGACTAATGGGTGCAAAACTATGCTGTCTACCCTAAGTGCATCACTGTGCAGTATATGCATGTATTGAAACAACACACTGTACCCCACTAAAATGTACAGGTAGATGTTAAAAAACAAAAACCCAAACCCCCAAACAGCCCTCCAGCCTGAAGAGTTTATAGATAGTTTATTGCTCTTTGAATTTACAGAGATGCCTCTAGCGGTGGCAGACATGTGATGTAACTATGATGCCTTCAGAACATGTATCCCCTTTGGGACTACACAATTCCAAACTGGACCTTTGGGGAGTGAGAAAAGGAGGGTGGAGGTAAAGTGAGTTAAGTTTTCTGACTACCCTTAACCAGGATTAGCATGCTGAAAGAATGTGTTCCAGTGGGATGATGATGGTTTCCAAGGCCAGTCTCCCATCTGTAGCCTCCTATGGATAGTCTGATAGTTTGTGGGTGTTCCCAAATTCACATGTTCACTTCCTGCCTTCTTAGGGCAGAGATTTAAAACAGTACATGGGTCTTTCTTACAATAGCTTTTTAAAAGCCTCAACTCATCATACTTTGATACTAAACATCGTTACACTGTCTTCCTGTGGTAGAATCTGCTTTCTCCTTTTCCCTGAGGGTGTAAAGAGTTTATGAAAAGACACCCTACTTGTGAAACACACTTGCATTCATCTTGGGAACTCTGCCAGCCTTCATAAAGAGTTTGCTAAGTTGTGCTTAGATACTGGAAAGATATGATCATTGTAACTATTCCCTATAACATGGGCAAGTTTTTCTATACACTAGAATCTATCTTATTAGGAGGCAATTCCCTGTAATTCTACTATGCAGCAGCCTATGACAACCTAAAACTGTGGCCTGTTTTGAAGGAGAAACTGTCACTTAATTCATGTGGAGAAAGGGTTCGAGATTAGTCGCCTGCTGTCCTCTCAGTCATAGACACAAAGCTTTAGTTTGAAATAAGTTTTCTTTCTGAAACTAATTTGAACCCTAGAGGAGGCAGAGGTGGGGAAGGGCAGGACGGGAGTTGTGCGGGAAACACAGAACACCCTGGGAAACATGGGGAGGTGATGGGCGGCAGCTGGGCTCTAGAGGTTTCTGGAGCAGAGGCAATCACCCAGGTACCTAGCTGTTGCCTTTCTGCTCCTGCAGACTGGCTGGGACCCTAGTACCAGCATATTAGAAATTAAAACACAGGAAAACATACTTCAGACCAGGGCTTAGAACTTGAAACTATGGTTTCTGAGCAGAAACTTGAATGTCTATAGTGTTACACACCATCTACTTTACTGAATACCTTTTTGTGTCAGCACTTGGTCAAACATTTCTGAAGTGTTACATTGGTAAGATTCAGGCTGCCCTAGGAGTTTCCCTCTAGAACTATGCAGTCAACACATACCCAGATAGCTTGGTATCACACCTGTATGGCTAAGTAATTACATAATTATCCCTTCAAGAATCAGGCACATGGGTAAAAAACAATGTTAACACTTTGATACTTTAAGTTCAAAAAAGTAACACAAGATTAAAATGTGGTTATTTGATTATATACAGAGGAACTGTGGCAAGGACATACTAGTTCGGCAGCATCAAAGACTCCTTTTTTGTGTGTGCTGATTACATTTTTCCATTATGATTCTGGAAATTCTCTTCAGTGGTCGGGAACAGATTTCAGCCAGGGCCTCACCTCTCCTTTCCCAATGTCTTCTACATCTTTGCTCATTTTTCTGTTTAGTATAATGTCCTGACAGTAAGGACAGAAATGTGTTTGTATGTGCTGGGGGTGAGGGAAGGACACCCCAAACTCTGACCCTCTATTGTGCACAGTAGATGACCATTGCCATAGCAGATGTCACATCACCACAACCTAAACAGACCACTCTCTTTGAAGTAGCTGTTGAATAACCTTGAGATCCATGCAAAATATCTGATACTAGCTCTTGGCTCCAGATATATAACTCCCGGTGTGGCTAATTCCTTGCTAGTAAAACCCACACTAATGGTGTTCATTGCTTAATGTCTTTTTAAAAAGACTACTCTATTGCTGTTGCTAGGATTAGGGGCTTCCTGATGCTAACCCCTCAGGCAATAGGTACACCATGGTCAGAGAAAGTGTTACTGGTGGTGGCCAGGGGTTAACGGCCTCTGCCTATGAGTAACTGAAATCAACACCGACTTCATGTGTTACAGATCTCAGATAGACTTAAATTCCGAGAGATGAATGTTTCATTGACTTTTCAAGGCAAGTAATTGCAAACATATCCTTGGAGTTGCAATAACTTAAAACCAACTTGTCCTCTGTAAGAAAAAGTAGAGATAAATCTGCTTGTTATAAACCAAGTTATCCTCTGCAGTTGAAACACACTGGGAAAGCGATTCAAAGTAATAGAGTTGGATCTAATTTTAAAGGGCATTAAAAATAAACTTAGATTCTTTGCTATCAAAATGTGACCAATTTAGAAAAACAAACAGCAAACAGAACCCCCTCACAGAGCTGACATTCTTTAAAATGTTATATTTATTGTCCCTATATTTTCTTTAGTGGGAAACATAATTTCTTAGGAACTAAAATGCGATTCCAGAGTATCCCTGGAACTGGGATTCCCTGCCCCACTCTTTTTCCCAGGGCTATACTAATAGGGCCATTCAGTGGCAATAAAATTTGGCATCAACTCCAACTCAATGACTGCCACTGGCTTCCAAAATTATATGATCTTGGGCAGTTCCTGCTACCTGAGAGGGGCCATTTGGCCTTCAAGCAAATTTTTGGGCCAAGATTTGAAGTCATCACTGTTAGATGAATACTTGGGTTCCTTTCCTTCTTGCAGGGGGTCTCCTAGGCAAAACGAGGCAGGTACTAGAGTCAGTTAGGTGTTTCCATGCCCACATTCCCACAGGTCTTAGCTTCTCAAGGAATCTTTACTGCAACTAGAAATATCCATCCTTGCTTTATTTAAGGAAGGAATGAGGCCAATTCTCTCCGTCTCTGTGTGATTCTGAGTGAATCAGACAAACCTCTCCTCTCTAGCATGAAACAACTAGGTTTTCCACTTCCTATGGAAATACATGCCAAACTAAAACCATAGTCAAATACAGGTTAATTTACAGGATACTGAGGGGATTTCAGGACGCTTATTTAAATACACTATTTTTAATTTTGGGTTTCTTACTGAAATCAAGCTCTGTTGATACATAAAGCCAGTGATTCTGATAGGTCCAAACCGAGCCTTTAGGATTGTTCCTTAAGCTGAGTGGGAAAGTCTTAACCTAGTGTTAGATATCTGAGTAGCCCCATAACCTCATTTTGTGCTCTGATTTTTATAGTAGATTGCTCAGCTGTGTTCCCTTGCTTGTAAAAAGAAAGGATGAAATATTTCTGGCAGGAGAATCTACTGTGATACTACTTGTCTTGTTCTCAGCTGCTGTGGGAGCCTGGAAGAAGGGGGAGGTATTCTCTTCCTTCCTAAACAGACTGCCAAGTCTTTGTGCTTCTGTGCCTCAGGGTGTTGTTGCTGGTGACTTTTGTTTAAAGACCAAAGCAGAATTTTTCAGGTACCAGAAGACACATTTAACCCAAGATAGGGGCAGAGAAGGGTACGGGGTGGCAGGGGGCAGAGGGGACCTAGGTCAGGAGACACAGCAGTGGGCTAATACCAATGTCTGGGAGGGGAATGGGTATTTTTTCTATTCCCTTCCCACTCTAGGCATTGGGCTCTCAGCACTGGCTAAGATTCCCTGCCCCAGTGTTGCCAGAGCAGTCCAGATGCCTGCCTTCAGGCAACATGTGAGCTTAACCCAAGCAGACCACCAGTGACCAGTAAATATCAAAGCTCTAAGGCTCTTCCTTCAGCATACTGAATGAATAAGACCCCTAGGGGCACCCCCTAAAATGACTGACGTATAACTTCCCTCCAGCCTGAATACAGACCTAGAGCAGATTAAATTTAATTTAGAGGGGGAAAAGAAAGGTGACTTTCTTCTACCTTCGTGTGCTGAACTAAAATTTATACTCACAACACGTACACCCATACACACATGTGCATGCACACACACACACACACACACACACACACACATACATATTCTTTGGAGGATTTTGGAAGACAGCTGAATGGCATGTCATGATTTTTCTATTAACTTAAATTATTTAAAAGCAACAGTTTTCTTTTAAAATGGGTTGGAGGGTTAAACTCTTCTGAAATGAACCAGTCAAGAAGAGACACTGAGTGTATTATCTCCCCTTCAGCTGCTCTCTTTTTATTCCTTCTGTTTCCTGCCTTGTCAGGAAATTGTGCATATTCCTGGTGGGGGGACAAAAGGTATGCTGTAGGAGGACCAGGAGGACTTTGCCCAAGGATGTGGCCCAGTCACTGAGACCTGATCTTGTCCCTTTTATGTACACAGTCCAAGCATTTTGAATTGTAAACATTCTGTTTAAGAAAGACCTTTATCTTGGTGGGCACTCATAAGACCAGCTTATGGACTGTAATCGAGGCTCACAATGTTAAGCCAGAGAAATTTCAAAATGGCAAGGCCTTGCTTCTCCTCAGATCAGCAGAATGGTGATGAAAGGATCTTTCAGTCTATAATCAGCATTGAAACAAAACTCCAGCTCTGTTTCAAAGTTCTGATTCTGATTGGAGGCTGATTCATTCCACCTATGACAGGAAATTTAATTTCAATACTTACTTGGTACTTGACTCCTTTAAAACAAAGACTGACAGCCAAAGTCAACTAGGAAACACACAAGTCTGTGAACTGAGTAGATTTTTTTGACTGATGCTGGAATATAGCCCCTCCAATGGAGTACTTCCTATGACTTAGTTACCAGTCTGTGCTTGCTCCTATTTCGGGGGAGAGATGTAATTTTTTTCTTCCTTGGTGCCATCCCCTGCTGAAAAGTGCCCCAGGTCCATAATTTAAAAGCTCATGCAATTCAAAGCAAAGGTATGGCAATGTTGCAGAACGCATCTCCTAGCACCACGTACCGTGCATAGTTATGCAGATGCTCTTCAATCACCGTGTTAGAGGAAAGATTGATGCAGCTGCCGTACATCTCCTAGAGAGGTGCAATTAAAATCATCTGAAAACATGCAACAAGCTCAGCACATGCACAAGTTCCAATAAACACAAAGCATGCTGGAGGTAGATAAGAGGACAGCAGTTTAATATATACTTTAAGGAGCACGGGACACTGTTGAGATGATGATTCTTATACTACTGAAAAGAGAACTCATTAAGTTACATGGAAAAGTTTTATTTGAGCAATTTAAGTTTTGAGGTCTGGCGTCTTGGCAAAAAGTGTTCCTTTTCTAGATGAAACAAATAAATGCTAAAGTCCTTTATAATAAGTACAATTTACGGAGAAAATCAATATATAATTTAAAAATTGGTGCTCAACTAATTAGAGAGGTACTAACTAAGACTTGATTTGGTTTCTGCAAAAAGCATTTGGACAGATCTTAGACCTTACTGTAATGGGATTTAAACGTTACAGCAAATAATAAATTATGAAGATTCTGATACTCCACTGGGTGGTTTATGTAGATTTCATGGAGTATGATTTAGGTCATTCCGTCCCATAGAAGGTTTTACAATTTTTGGCTACTATAGCATTTTTGGATGGCATGGCAAGCACTGAGCATGCAGGAAACATTGCCTAAAAAGATACTCATATCTCTTACTCACAGAATATAGTGTATGAGTTTCCATAAATGCAAATATAAATGTGCTTCATGGCACACTCTACCATCCCCTGCGTACTGGCAAGCACTTCAGACTCTATAGCCTCCAACTGACATTTGGGAGTCTGTGCTGTAAAATGCCAGTGTGGAGGTCTCTGTGGTATATTCATTTCAAAGGTCATTCGAAAGTTGAGTAGTTAAGTCTTTAGAAATAGAGTTTCTCTTTATGTGCTTTCTAATTGGGTTTGAGAATACACTATCCAGTCACATGAAGAAAACAGACTTCCTGAGGCAGAATCAGCACCAATGAAGGGCCTGATTTTGCACATATTGGTGGTTTCACCTTGTAGAAATGCCTCCCACGTCTAGGACCCCTAACACCCAAGAATCAAGCTATTTAGGGAAATTTAGGGACCAGAATATAATGTTCTCTGGTTTATCTGCCTTTCTCTCTTACAGTATTTTCCAAAGGAAGAGCAAGGGGTATGTACTCTAACATGACTTGTCTTATTAGAAACATATGAATTGGGCTTTCCATTGATCCCTTTGGAATATTTCAGGGGATTCCCTCAAGGTGGCATGGGTCAAAAATCTGTAGTGTTAGGAACAATGTAATCAAGTCAAGGGCCAAAAAATAAAGATACTCTCCAAATAGCACTCACTGCCTTATTCTTTCCTTTGCTAGCAGAGCTTGCAGGGTTTCCCTTGGCATCTGGCATCTTCCTTCCAAGTGAGGTTAAGGGCAATGTAGAGGTCTTCAGCTGGTTGGCTGCCTGATAGTTATTATTATTGTTCTGGTTGCCACTGAGTGTCTCCATGATGGATCTAAAGGTTCCAAAAGGTCTTTTCAGTTGATCCCCGGATTCGCTACTTGCGGAGGTCCGCTGGGGGGTCCTGCCCCTGTCTTTGTCTTTTTCTCCATTTACTTCCAGACTAGTTTGCTCCATCTGCACCACAGGCTCCTCAAAGGTAACTCTGAGTTTCAAGTTTTGAGATGTCCGGCGCTTGGAAGATGGAGACTTGAGGGCACTCTTGGGACTTGTGGCAACTTTCTGGGCAGCAGTGCTGTCAGGGATGGGCAGAGTGGGGTCTCCAGAGGGCTGGGCTGTAGGACTGTTCCCTGAGCCTGGACAATGGGATTCCAAGTCTGGCTCGCTGCTTTCTGAAGTGGGAGATGGGCTATGGCCATCCAGGGATTTGGAGGCCTTGATACTGAAAGGAAACCTGCGTCCTGATGCCGAGGTATGCTTCTTTACCATCATGTGCAAGCTTTCTGCGCTGTCCAGACTCTCCACGCTTTCCACAATGGGCTGAGGCCGGGGCCTGTCAGCCTTTCTCACAGGGGTGTTCTTGGGGTCCTCAGAGTTGTTGGAGTCTGTGTCAGATTCACTCAGTGACCTCTGCATCAGCTGCCTCAGCCTGGCTAACTTCAGTTCCCTCTTCTCCAGAGGGATCTTTTTTGAATTTCGAGAGGAAGTCTGAGCATCCTGGAATTCCAAGGACAGCTTTTCCTGGGTGCAGACATTCTCTGAGATTTCTTTTCCCAAAAGCTGGCGTAGGATTTTATCAGAATCTTCATCTTTTGCTTTGGCCCTACCCCGGCTGGATGCTGACAGGCTTCCAAGAACCTGGATCCCCTCTTGGATTCCTGGTTTGCTTTTAGCCATAGACTCATCATCTGCATCTGAAGATTTCCACTGGGACTTTCTGGAAGCTGGTGAAGATGGTGAACTGAAAAGAGGATGAAGAATACATGAGATGATTTCATCCTGAGGTAAAATGACTCAGCCACAAATCACTGCATGGCCTTTACTGCCAATAATAATTTACAAATAAATAAGAATTGAATAAGGATAATCCTTTAATGGCTTTTCAAAACAATTTGACAATATTCCACAGTAGCAACCATAACCAAAGTCTAGCATGACTCATTCCTTATGCTGTGACTACTATGACTATAAATTTGTGTATTGTTTTACTGTTTAGACATGCATTTTGCATGCATTTTTTTCATTAATCCCATTTTCTTTTTTTTTTTTTCCTTTTTGTCTTTTTTCGTGTCCGGCAATGGACCACAACCCTCAGTGTCGCGCCCGTACCGGACCAGGACCGGCAACAGGATCGCAACCCTCGGTGTTGCCCCCACACCTCGCTCAGCCAGTGAGCGGGAACCGGTCTGTATGTGGGATCCGAACCCTCGGCGGGAGCACCACCACGCTCCCAACCGGCGCACTGTAGCAGTGCACCACCGGGCCGGCCCTCATTAATCCCATTTTCAACAAACTTATCAACCTACATATCCTTATTCCCATTTCATGGATAAAGAATGAAAGACTCAGAAAGAATAAGTGACTTGTTCATAGTTGTGGAAATCAGAAATAGTGCCCTTTCCACTGCGATGTCTTATTTTCATTCCTCTTTATAAGAATAAAATATTTTCTATTATTATCCTTTTAAAAAACATTAAAAGGAAGTCCAAAAGAAGGCTCAGAGATTTTAGATACTTAACTCTAAACAACAATATGCCTGGTATTACCTGGGTGAAGAAGGCAAGGACTTGCCCTCTGATTTCTGGGCCTCCAGAAGTTGCTGGAGTTGGTTCTGCAGTGTGACACGTTCCACTGTCTGTCTGCGGAAAACAACCAGATGCATAAGCTCTGATATATACTGCTATAAATTTGTAGGAATACGTTTTTTCATAATAATTTGTAGTAAGTTGCAATAAATTCAAAAGCCTTAAAAATATGCATAATCTTCATATTTACAGTTCAGAAATTTTCCTAAGGAAACAACCAAACGTACCCCCAAAAGATGTTTACTGTTAATATTAGTGAAAAACTTTAAGTAACCTAAATGCTCATCAATAAGTCTGAGTAAATAAATTATAATTATTTCTATAATGACATATAGAAAAAAATACATATACTGATATATCTGAAAAAAATCTGGAAGAATATACTCCAAAGCATTACTTATTTTTTCTAAATTGTTTGCATTTTTAAGTGATTAAGTTACTGATTATAAAACAAAAATAAAACAAAATGAGCAAACTATTCCCACTTTGGAAATACTTAAACCATTAAATAATATAGCATTTCTTATATAAAGGGAAAACAATGCACAGCAATGCTCCATTTCCTCTGGATGTACGAGTGTGTGTATCGGAATGTGCTTTCAAGTTAGGAAAATAGCTTAAAAGCCATAGGTTACAGAAAGTAAAATCTATTTAGAAAACACATATTAATTACTACAGAAGTTGAAATAAGTAAATCAAACTGATTCTGACTTTATAGGAATAAGCAGTATCTCCTGAACTCTGTAGTATTAATGTGTTGCCCAAAGATGTCTACTCACATCCTAATCCCTGGAAAATGTGACTATGTTACCTCGCACAGCAAAAGTGAATTAAGGCTGCAGATGGAATTAAGGTTGCTTATCAGCTCATGTTAAAATAGAGAGGTTATCCTGGACTTAGAACTAATCACTTGAGTCTGGCAGCAGAAGAGGAGGCAGAGGAGCAGGTCAGAGAGATTCCGAGTATGAGAAGGACTCTATCTGCTGTTTGCTGGCTTTGAATTTGGAGAAAGGGGGCTGTGAGCCAAGGAAAGCAGCGCCCTCTAGTGCCGGGAATGATCCTCAGCTGACGCAGGGAAAATGGGGACTTCGGTCTTACAACTACAAAGAACTGATTCTGCCAACAACCTGAATGAGCAGGACACAGACTGTCATCCTAGAGCCTCCGGAAAGGAACAACTGCTGACACGCTTGATTTTAGTCTGGTGACCCTTACCAGCCATATGACTTAGCAAATGTAAGATAAATTTGTGTTACTATAAAGCACTAATTTTGTGGTAGTTTGTTACAAAGCAATAGAAAATTAATACAGTTAGCATTATAAGTGTTATAAGTGTTGTAAAAATGACTGCCATACCTTAGATACTGGCTTGAGGAAGCCCAGTGTTCTCCTTGCTGAGTGTCACTGCGTATACTCAACACCAATGGCTGCCTGAATCTAATTCTGTGAGATTGGATTCTGATAATACCCTTTCATAAGCCCCAAGCACTCCCTTCGTTTTTCTCAGAAGCATCAGTTATAGTTCTAATACTTCATCCCTAAGACCAGAGAAGTCTGTGACCTCATTACATTTCACTTGTGTGCCAGACTCCCCTACTGAAAACTTAATGGTCCAAAGCAGGAGCCAGCAAACTGTTTCTTAAAGGGCCAAATAGTAAATATTTTAGGCCTGTGAGCCACATAATTTCATCACAACTACTCAACTCTGCCTTTGCAGCACGAAATCAGCCCATAAATGTATGTGTGTGGCTGGGTTCCAATAAAACTTTATTTACAAACAGGTGGTGGGCTGAATTTGGCCCACAGTCTATAATTTGCTGACCCTGGTCCAACAAAAGAATAAAAACCAAAAATACTTAGAGCATTCTACTTTTTCCACTTTGCTAGTTGGTACTGGATGTCAAGTTCTTAAGAAAAAATATTTAGTGAGGTGCTGAAACAGAGGAAGAAAGATTATAGTCTGCTTTTAAAAGGTTTATTAGGTGTCTTAAAGTGACATAGTCAAGAAAACTATTTGGGGGCAACTGGGTTGTCTGATGACTGGAATCCCAGGTATGAATGGAAGAGAAAGACTCTACTGTCTAGATTCTAAAGAAGCCCTCAGAAAGGACTAATAAACTTTAATTACTTAAAGAAAAAAATGAGTATATGTCTACTGTATTAGTTTGCTAGAGCTGCCATAACAAAGTACCACAACTAGGTGGCTTAAACAATAGAAATTTATTGTCTCACAGTTCTGGAGGCTAGAAGTCCAAGACCAAGGTGCCAGCAAGGTTGGTTCCCTCTGAAGACTCTTAGGAAGAATCTGTTCCACGCCTCTCTGCCGGCTTCTGGTGGTTTGTTAGCAATCTTTGGCATTTCTTGGCTTGTAGACATAACACCCCGATCTCTGCCTTCATGTTTACATGGCTTTCTTCCTGTGTGCATGTCTGTCTCTGTGTCTAAATTTTCTCCTTTTTAAGGGCACTAGTCATATTGGATTAGAACCCACCCTAATGACCTAACTTTAACTTGATTACTGCTGTGTAGACCCTGTCTCCAAATAAGGTCACATTCGGAGGTACTAGGGGTTAGGACTCCTACAAATCTTTTTGGGGGGTACAATTCAACCCATAATAAGGACACTAGTCATATTGGATTAGAACCCACCCTAATGACCTAACTTTAACTTGATTACTGCTGTGTAGACCCTGTCTCCAAATAAGGTCACCTTCGGAGGTACTAGGGGTTAGGACTCCTACAAATCTTTTTGGGGGGTACAATTCAACCCATAATATCCAGGCTTGTTGATTAGGACTTCAACAGAGCTGAAGCCTGCCATTCCTAAATAGTAACAATGTTTTTAACTATAAAGAGTTGGTAAAGGTGGGAAAAACTGTCTCCCCACAGAAATTTGGACTAGAAAGACTAGTGTTTTACATCTTTCCTCCTGCATGTTTCTGTGTCTTTGCTGCCTGGGAGCCTGAAGGTACAGTGTACTGTGGCTATATCAAGTGGCTTTCTCAATTCATTTCTAGTTTTGCCAACTTCACTGAGGTACACAGTAAGTAAAAGACTAGGGCATACAACATAACCTCTTCTATTTTATCTTGTAATTGGCCTAAGTACAACTGTCTACAGCATTGAGCTTTGGAGACAACAGAAGGATTGTTGTCTACTAGTGTATATGTGTATTTTATCCCAGAGTCATCAACAGAGAGAAAATCCAAGACCCTAACTTTGATCAGTTCACCAATAAAGCAGCTATTGTAACTCATAAAAGCTTTTCAGATTCAGTAGTATAGAGACTGAGGAGAATGTTTTGTGATCTTTTCTTTCAGGATGAACCTTTAGAAAAAACATTCTATTGGATCACTTTAAAGCTTCTCTTTATTGATATGTCCACACACTACTGGAGGGAGTGGACATTGGTGTCACACTTTTGGAAAGATAACAGGCAACACCTACCCACATTTTTAATATCTATGCCTTTCATTCTAGCAATTCTTTTTCTAGAGCTTATTTTTAGAAATACCTATTCAGGCACATAACGACATATACACAAGTACATTCACTGTGGAAAGATAACTTACTGAGTTATTAATTTGTGTGCATTTTCCCTTCAGTTACATTGAGACCTTTAAGCTCACCTGACACAGGAAGTTTTGTGTAACTGGGCAGAGGATGCTTGGAATTAACCCCTTTATTTTTTAAGTTAACACTTTTTCTCCCTAGTAGAAGTCTAAATTCTTTAAACAGATTATTCTAGGTGATGGGTGGAGGGGCACAGAGACTTGTAGCTCCAAGACAAGAGCACGGAAGTAGAGAAGTTAAGGGAGGTTTCCTCAAGCTTAGAGAAGAGATGGAGGTCCCAGGCCATGTCATACTTTTGCATGAATTATAATCAACTAAGGCCTCTCACACATCCTAGGCTTTTTTTCCCCCCCAAATAATCCATATCCAGGAAATATAAATAAATAAAACTTAAAGGTAAGACTTTATGTTTTCCCTCTAAAATTGAATTTTTAAGGTTTATCCTCCTAATCTGTCAATATTACTTTGAATACTGATTCTGATTTTCAGGGAACCCTCTCCAATACAGCAACTGTAATTTGATCTGTTTACTTTCCAAGGGCTGACCTTGGTCCTCTCAGGTGGGCATGAGGGCCTTCATCCTTCAACTTGCTGGAGACCTACCTGATGGACTCTCATCCTCCCCGCTTTCTTCAAGCATTTCACGACAATCTTCCAGAAATGCTTCCCTGACACCCAGATACACAATATGTACCAGTCTAATAATCTTATCAAGAAAAGTTTATGAGTTTAGTCATAGAGTCTTTAGTTAGTCACAGAGTGGTTTAACTAACTTCATGCTGACTAAACACTATTTTATATCGAGTATTCAAAAATCATCTGCTTAATTTTTGTAATAAATTTGCTCGTGGTGGCTACCAAGTTCTTTACCTGTAATTTCCCAAACACACATTTTTCTTTTTGAGAAAACTGAGAAATTGGTCTTTCTCTAGCCTTTCTCTCTCTCCCATGCCCTTCTGATTTCCTGGGATATTAAGGACAGAAGTTTGGAGGTGATGCCCGTGTGTGCTCTCAGTGCCTGCTACAGAATCTGGCCTGAGCTGAGATGAGCACAGAGAGATGCTCTCTCCTTGTGCACTGTGGCCTCCATCCCCTGCTCAGGGAGGCTGCTCTGAGCTTTGTTGTCTAATTGTCATTTTGCCTCCACACAGTGGCAGCTTCAGCATGAACACTGGCCATGAGCACTTGGGACAGAGGAAGAAAAGGAGATGAGGACAATGTTGGGGATTCCCTGCACTCTGCGATGAAGGGAGCTTACCACGCTGCTTGGCTGGAACTAAGCACAACAATGACAAGTGAGACTTTGTCTCAGAGCCAATGGCTCACTTACTCCTTTAGCTGCTTGGTTAACTTCACCACCTGAGAGGCCAGCGACATGCAGGTCTCCACCACCACCAGGTACCTGGAGCAGAGGGTGTGCCCGTGCCGCTCGGCACTCTGCGATGGCTTTTCCCCCGCGTGGTTCTGCATGGTGACATTTGCTCCATATTCAACCAAGGTCTGTCAGAAAATGTAGAGACATGTGACTATCAGGACCTCCCTCTAAACATTATTTTTTAATGCCTATAACAGAATGTTGAGTAGGACTTTTCCTGTTATTCCAAAACCAGTTACCAAAGCCCATGGCGTTGGGGGAGGGGAGCGGAGTACCAGCACATATGAACGAGACTTTCCAGGGACCTTTCAGCAGCTGATATCAGACACCTCCCTTCAGAGCCCACAAAGATGTAGCAGAACCAATCCTACTACTACCAATCCCCACCCACAGCCTACAGAAGGGAGGAGGCTGCTGTCCATACAGTCCTTTCCTTTATGAGATGTGCAGGGCAGTGTTTGTGGCGAGTTTTGTCCCTTTCCATGGCTGGGTTTCAAGAGAATCATTCATGAAGTCGGGATGGTCGTCAGATGGGGAGAATGGAATTTTGTTTACCCGTTCTTATTTGCTTGGGTCCTGGGAACTGGTTTTGGGCTGTAGTAATGGGTTTGAGAATTAACACTTGCTGATCTGTTCCTGAGCCTACCTGATCAGGAATAAAAAGAGGTGGAGAGAAATGACACGGCAGAGAATGGGGAGGCTGTGAAGCAGCCCACGCTCCCACCATGTGCCATGGCAAGGATATGTGTGTGGACTGAACAGACTTTGTAAAAGGGAGTTTGGTGTGAGCTTATCACCCCATGAACAAGGAGAGGCTTCCCCAGCAGCAGTCAGCAGTGGGCTGCACCACAGTCAGAGGGAACTGTTTGGGGGAGGAGAAAGTAAACAGTTTTCCCGTGTCACGCATCAATGGGAAGGCTCCAGAGATCCCTCGGAAATCCCCACCAACAGCACCTTCCAGAGAGCCAGCATCTGAAGGTTGCTGCAAAGGACATCAGTGACGACAGTCCGCCAAAGCAGCAGTGACAGCTTTCAGGGAGGTGCCATGGCTTTTTCCAGTTAAGCAAAGAGACATTTGAGTTTTTCTCTTCATACCTCCTCTTTGTCACCAACATCGCAGCCCAGGAGAGACGGGAACAGGAGCTAAAGTGGTGTGTAAAGAGTCGACCATGCCTCACTCCCCATTCCAAGTCCCTAATCTGAGCTGATGGTTGGGGTGGGGAGAAAACTTTGAATCAGAAATAAGATTGAGGTTTGGAGAAAATTTTAATAGTCATAAGCAAGCTAACGTTATGGAAGCTGGCGAAGGTATCATTAGTAGAGGAGACAGAGCATGATGGAGCATGAAGTCAATAATTAAAAAAAAACTTTTATACTGTCATATCAGATTTCACAAAAAGCTCTTACGTCCATGTTAATCAACCACCAGATTCTGACATATTCTTTGACAATATTATAAAGAGATTACAAATCTCCAGATTTATTTTTGGATGGAGGTAATATTTTTTTCCCACAAGTAATACTTCCAGTATTTAAATTCAGATTACTTATAGGTCATTAAGGACCTCTGTCTTCCTTTCGGTTTATGATCACTCACCATGAAAGATCAATTCACCTTAAAGCCATTGCCACCTCCTGCACAGGAGTGTCACAGACCGTGTCGGCATTGAGCTCTCGGAGCTCTCGAACAGACTCAATATAAACACACACTGTTATTACTCTCCCTGGACTCCGACCTCTGCAGTTTACTCTCCTCTGCTTTCCTTACTCAGTTCCCTCCTCACCTCATAAGTTCCCTTGCTCACTCTCAGTCTCTTTATATCTTTTTTTTTTTAAATCTCAGACCCAGTGGAGAGACCCTTTTCCAAGATTATCCAAGTTTCCACATCCGTGGTATCTAGTGCCAAAAATATCATTTGTGTTAAGTGAAGTGATGAATAGTCTAAAAGGACAGAATGCCTCTCCACATATTAAAAAGAAAAATAACTAAAATCTCAAATAGAATTAGTGATACGAGCTTGTTTGCCCTGGCTTTTTGTCATTTATTAGCTGATTAAAAGCTTATTTAAACACTACTAAATATTAGAGTATTTCGATAAATGGAAAATGTAGTTTTCAGTGTTTGTTTAATTATCTTTCCTCCATAAAAAATATAATCTTACTCCTCTAATCTTACCACAGATCCTGGTAAGAATTTAAATTTCTCTCTTTTCTGTACTCTACAATTTCTTATCACTCCATTTAAAACTTGGTGTCTTCATTTAGAAGATGCATGCTTTGCCAAAAATAATGGAAAAACTTTCAGATTCTTGGAATATTTCCTATCAAGTCAGCTCTCCAAAGAGCTGTTTCATGTGAGTGGACACTCTAGAGAGCTTTCTGCTATTACCTCTGCTTTTTGTTTTTATTGATATATTTACAGTTTTCTCATATATTCTCCTGTCATTTCCTGAGTCCTCTCTACCTTCCTGAGCAACTGGTCCTCACTGCCCAGTTTTATTTCGGATACAGACGACCTTGTGCATAGCAGGACCTTAGTCAGTACCTGTTGAAGAAATGAGCCGAGTTTGCGATACAGGAAACAACACATACATAAACCAAAAAAGAGTGTTACTTTCTTACGGGTGGGAAATGCATTATATGTTGTATACATATAACATGCGTTGAACTACATGAACTTGAGGTAAGAGTACTTTTTCTAATCATGGCCTTCAACCATATGTTGTCACTTTCTCCTTCCTACATCTCAGGTAGATATGGGAACAAATCTATAGATGTTGGGTCATTTTCAATGAAGCATGATCTGATTGGTTTGATTCTGGTAATTATGACTTATGTTCATAAATAAAATTCCAGGCCAAATCAAAACGATGACTTTGTTTCCAATTCAAAGCCTTTTCATTCCTCACACTGCCAGCCCCTCCTCCTCCTCTGGCTGGCTTCTCTGCTCTGTTAATAACAGTCTTCAACATTTTCTAGGTGAAAAGGTCTACCTGCTTTTTACATTCATACACACCCCAAACTTCTGGGGATCCCCACTGGGCTCTCCCACCATGTGCTGTTCTGATGGCGGCCCTAGGCTTGGCTCAGCTTCGTGCAGCTCTGTATTCACCTGAAGGATGAGATGCCACCTCTTCTTCCTGCAGGAACCCCACACTCTAAAACAGCCCTATTGGAGCACCCCTCATGTGCCTTGGGGCGGGAGGACAAGCCTCCCTCTTCTCTCCTGTGGTTCTGCTCCCCAACCTTTTGACTTCATTGCACGCATGGGATGTGATAATATTTGGAAGGCATGTTGGGCTAAAAGGGCGATGCTACTTGAAGCTGATGGACGGAATGGTTGGCCATGAAGGCCCTGCCTAGCTTGCACAAGGGCGGAGAGGATCAGTATCTAAGCCCCTGCCCTCCCAGGCCCACCCTATCCCCAACCAATTCTAGGCCTTTTGAACACTTGAGAAGCTCAGTCCTACTACAGATAGAGGAGGAGACCACAGCCCTGTCTTTCTAGCTTACTACTCCCTACTATGAAGAATTCGTCTAATCCACCCCTGAAAACTGTCCTGTTTTTTACATACTTGGAAAGGAGAGATGTGCTAGGAGGGCAAGAAAATTCTGCCACTTGAGAAACTGAGAGATGTCAGTCTGGTAGTGGTTTCCCTAATGTCTTGAGAACATGGGTGTAATTCGTGTCTATTGTTCCTGGCATTGGGGCTTTAGAGTAATGTTGAGAGGGCAGGATAAGTCTCTTTTAACACCCTGTGACACTTGTGTGGATTTCTAGAAATACAAATATATTTATATAATTCCTATTGTCCACTGTAATACAAAAGGTGATTTAATCCAGACATTCTCTCAGCGAACAAAATTTCCATTTTTTGTTTTATTACTCCATACACTCATTTCTCTCTGCTAAGCAGCAGGGCCTGTGTACCTGTATGCACCCGAGGTAGCCATGCTGAGAGGCCACATGAACGGCGCTGTTGCCACCCTGGTCCACTTCATCTAACGAAATGCCCTGTTCTTGCATAAACTGAAGAAGCCACAGAAGAATTTTTTCCTATAAACACAAAGGCAGTTGGAATTAATGGAACATCATGGAGAGAAGTAAAATATAAAGATAGAGGAAACAATACTGTAACTTGTGAAGCTTAGATAAAATCAAGTTTACCATAGCAAGAAAAATTCCCACTCAGTATGAACTGAAAATCCATGAATCTCTGACTGAAATGAATGAAAGAGGACCACACAGAGAATTGATCCTAAAAGCAGAAAGTTGCCTCGGACATGCTCTTGTTTTATTTACTTATTGCACAGATGGGATTGGCAGAAAGTTTGAGTACCTCGTCAAAGTCACACAGCTAGACAGATCCAAAATTGGAACAAGAATCCAGGTCTTTTGATTCCAAGTCTCCCAAGGCAATGTTTTTGCTACTGTGTTAATAGTGCTTGTAAGCTTTAAGACTATTATCATAAAACCTTGGACTACTGAGATAACTAGCTTCTTCTTTTAAGTTTAGAAGTCTTCAACCATGCCTTTCTAATCCCATACCTCCCGCAATCAACAGGCTTACAAAAAGAGGCAACACCTTAAGTTTCCAAATATAAGATTGCTGAAACAAAGCCTCACTGAATTTTGTGACCAGATGTTGGTGGTGTTTTAAAGGTGAAGTTTTCTCTTCTTCTATGTTAAAGGGAGGGAACCAAAAGCTCTGAACACAAATCTTTCAAAAGCAAAAACATAGAGAAGTCAGTATATTTTGTCATAATCTGTTTGCATTTTACCCACTGCATGTTTTGTGGTATTTTCATGTTACGCTTGGCCTTTAGAGAAAGCAGGGGGGATGGGATTTCACTGTGTCAAAATAAAAAAATTAAATATAAAGTTAAAAAAAAATAAGAGTGGTAAAAACAACAGCATGAAGCTTAGCGGGTGGAATTTGACATTTAAAAAGATGATCATGTGTTTGAAATAGCCTTGAACCTCTTTCTTCTTAGCCTTTTAAAGGATTTTTTTTTTCCAGTTATTTGCTCGAACTGGTCATGAACTTTTATACTCTTCTGGATTAAATTTGCCTTCATCTTTTGAACATGCCAACTAATCCGCTAAAGGAATGTTGGATAAAAACAGCCAACTCTTTTAATGTTTTACTCCTCATTCTGGGGAACAGGGCACTGTTTATGAAGGTATCTGAGACATCAGGGACAGACTAAATGTACCAACTTTTTCCAAATGAGCAAGCGAGGTGAAAGACCCTTAAAGAGCAAGAAGAGAAAAACGTAATCAATGCATACAACCTACCAAGAATGCCCCTGGGAAAGCAGGGTGAGTGTTAGCTGCAAACACAGATCCTTGGACAGGGAAACCCCCAAAGGTCCCTAGAGAATAAGGTGGAGCACAGCCTGGAGGCTAGGGCTGGGAGTTAGAAGCAGGATAAGGATATGCTGATAAGCTTAACTCTCTTCTTCAGAGGCAAACCTGGGGAAAGTTGGAGCTGATATATAGGTAAGAGCAGGTGCTGTTTTCACATGCATGAGGTAAAACCACTTCCTTTATTTTTCCCAGTTAGGTAGAGGAAAAATACTGGATTACTTTAGATAGATGATTGTACATGTGATCTGAACTCCTTACAAATCTGGATGAGAGGAAGTACCTCAGAATAAAAAACATAACAAATTGTTTTGAAGTCAATGGCTAAGACACATGGAAACTGCAAGAAGGCATGTTGCTGTGCCTCTACCAGTGAAAAAGACGGCCTGACCACGTGTGGAACAAATCCTCTTCAATGGGTCATTCTCAACTTGTGGTGACCTGGTTTGCTCCATGATATTAAATCATGGACTCTTAAAATTGCAGAGTAGGAGAGATTTTAAGAAATCATCCAATTTTATTTTATAAATCTGAAAACTGAGGGAGAAGACAACTGTACACTCTCTGATATTCTAGCAGCTTCTTTCTTCATCAAGGGAAGCTCAGAGGAGTTCAAGATATTTAGAAATGTTTTATATATACCTTCCTGTCAGGTATATTTCCATATTTTCCAGACCCAGTTAAGTATTATAATGGATATGTCTATTCCACGTGCATAGAGAACGCTCTTTACTAAAATCACAGTGTTTTGACTTTTAGTGACAGGGTTGTACTAGCAGGCAATGGAATACTGCATTTTATGACTAGGAATTTTCCTGTTGTAGAAATCTGGAGGAGAAGCTAGGGCCCCAGACTTTGCAGGGGGTTGGTAATCTGGGAGAATGAGACACACAGGTCTGTGTGAGGCAAGAGCTACCTTGTTTTTTTTTTTTTAATGATGGCATGGATAACTCTTCTTCCTTACAATTAAAGAGTTTACCCAACTCAATATGCAAGAACTACATATTGTTCAGAACAAGACAGGTCTTTGTCCAGCACCTCAAATTCAATTTTGTGTTCTGTATGTAGGACAATTTAATAAGAAGATATGCCATCAGCCTGTCCACTGAGGTATTATGTGGAAACAAAAATTTCCTCCCACACCAGGCAGAGAAGTACTACCCAAAGGGATTGGCTGACTGTACACCTGATCTTCTAAACAGCCAATATTTAGGATGTCTGAGATAGATGCGTAGATGGCTAGAATCCTTGGTTTTAGTAAAAGCATGAGGCATCCAATCTCAGAGAAATTCCTCTCTGATTCTGGAGAACATGCCCTACCCTATAATTCAAACAATGACTTATTTGACAAATATCTCAAAAAGAGGACAGAATATGGCTATTTCCTCCAACTAAGAAGGCCCTTATTAATGTGTATATGTACAGATATATAGATGGCCCTGACTTATGATGGTTCCACTTAACGATTTTTCCACTTTACGATGGCACAAAACCATAGCAATTTTGACATACATACTTCAAATTTTGAATTTTGATCTTTTACTTATATGTGGCACATAAGACATTCAACATTTTATTATAAGTAGGTTTAGTGTCAGATGTTGTCCAAATATAGGTAAATGCAAGTGTTCTGAGCATGTTTAAGGTAGGCCAGCCTACACTATGAGGTTTGGTAGGTGTATTAAATGCATTTTTGATTTATGATATTTTCAACTTACTGTAGGTTTATTGGGAAGTGACCCCATCCTAAGTTGAGGAGCATGTGTATATGCAGTGGTGTCCACCTCCCCTTCTCTTAGCCCTTTACTGTGCTCTCTGTTTATGTGTGTGTCTACAGGGAGGAGATGTTAATGGAAGAATGTAAAGGAAGAACTTCAGATCTTCATTTCCCCAGAAGTACAGTTTCCAGAGAAAATCCAGTGCAGGATGGAGAGGCCCTGTATTATTTTTTCATTTCACAGAATACCTTTCCAAGTTACATTTCATCCATCTGTGCGTTCAACTTCCATCTACTGACAGAAAACTTCCTTCATGTACTAGTTTTCTCTTCTGGGGATTTTCTGCTTTTTTTGTAACCTGTTTTAATGTTGCATTTTATGTGTTCCTAAAGGCAGTGCAAATTGTTTAGAGAGGCAATTAATTCATGGAATTTATGACATTTGCTGGACAAAGTCTAATAAAATATAATTGAAAAGTATGTCACAGGTTTATTGCTGATGTCAATAAAATCTCTATAGTTTGTGATACAACCATAAGCTCTAAAGGAGTCAGCTTTGTAATCATAGATCATCAACTCTAATATGCCATCAATTACAAGATTCATTCCAGTTTTTGAGATGTTAAAATGTAAAAAACACGCTCATCAATAATTTCACAATGTTATTTATTGTAAGAATAAATGTAGAATCCAGAGATGGTACAATGTGAAAAAAAAAGTGCATCTAAGAATTAATTAAATAGATCAAGGCTTAAATAATTCTTTGGTAAGCGTCTCTTTCATTTTACTTATGGTTAAATAAGTAAATAGCAACAGAAACAATAAATTGGAAGAGATCTAATAGTTATAACAGCCAACATTTGTCTAGTATCTACTATGTGCTGGGAGATGTGGTTTTTCTCACTTAGCCTTCAGAACAATGCTGAGGAATGGTTCTATCACCACCATTTTACAGATGACAAAACCGAGCTCCAGCGAGACCTTTTCTTTTTTTCTCTCTTTTTTTAAATGAACATATCCAAGGCCATTGAGCTAGTTGAGTGGTAGAGCTAGGATTAAAACCCAAATAGCTTGATTTAGGGACCAGTCTTCTTCCTGACTCTGTTTTCTGTCTTCCGAGTGTGGATATCCACAACTGCTCATTCCCCATGACCCCTGACTCTGTGAAGGACACGCTCCCCTTGTGCCCATGGGTCAAAGACATCACAGTTAATTGCTTGTCAGTCTTCAGATTTGTGGAGCTCTGTGTCAGTTATGTTTTCTCAAGACCAGTTCTTGGAGAACAGATGGATGCTAATCAAAGGTTTTTCTATTTTGCTTTCATCTGCATCGGCAGCACTTTCAGCATTGTTTGCTTATTTCTGCCCCATGACAGTGAAACAATAAAGACAAGGGAATATTTCTCCTCTTTAAAGTAAATTGTGGAAAAACAACAACACAGCCTGAGGAAGCGTCCCCCTCCCCTGCATGCCTATCACTGCTCATGACCATCTGTACAAATTGCTGAGCCTTTTCTTTTTTCAAAAAGTATCCTTTTTAAAAATCTGTATTGGGGCAAACATTTCAAATGGAGAATAAACACAGTGTAGGCAAAGGTGATCTTAGTAAATGCTCAATGCTATGATGCAGGTTGTTTTTGTAGAAGAATCTCTTGAGCAAAAGTAATGTGAACAATTCAGAAACAAAAGGAATCATAGGTTTGATGATGAAAGTAACACAGAGCCCACTGCACCAACGACCGATGCAGAACAGGCAGAAGCCCCCAAGCACTGAGGGAGGGAAGCTTTGCTGGGAGAGTCTGGAAGAGACAATCTGAACCTTCACGTCTGAATAAAACAGTGCGAGTTACACAGGTGGTAGCTTTTGATTGAGATGATTTTGTCTCAATTGTTTTGCCAGCAACTTCTCCCAGGACAGCAAAGCAGGCCTATCTGAGGACACCCCCTGCCTGTTCCTCGTGTCTCCTGAGGATTTCACCTTCACGTCCCAGTGGCTAGTTCTGCTAGGTACAATCAGGCAATACAATAATTGTACCCTGAGACTTCATGTGTCAAGATGAGGAAAATCAATTCCTACCACCCCAAGATCTATCACTCCAGGAGACTACTAAAAACTGCAGGCTACCCTGTGGTACTGGTGTCTTTAAAGATAATTTTTACAAGGAAAAGGACACAATTCGGAGTCAAATGGAGCCCATTCTTTAAGAATCTATATGAGGGCAACTAAAATAAACCAAGAAAGAAATTTTCCTCCATACTATACTTTACCAGAGGTATTTACTGAAGAAACAAAACCAGAACACAGTTAAGTGCTGGCTTGATGTAGAAAAACTTGCATGTGCTGAATCCATTAGAAAGCTGTTCAATAACAGTCTTCCTTGTGAAAATATTAGCCTTGGAATGGTTCCAAGTTCAGCATCTCTGCAGGTTATCTGTTACATAAGTGGCTGTGGCGGATGTAGGATGGCTGGACAGAATTCCCAGTTCTAATGGGCTTCCACATTTTCCACTTGGGTAAGAATGCTCTCCTAAGGGTGCTGCTGGAATACCCCCTCAAAGCTGTATTTGAGCTCATAAAAAACGCTTATCAGCTAGAAATAACAACCTGAAGACTGATACTAGCATGAAGCAAATGTCTGACACAGCTTTTCCAATAGGTCACTAACTTCCATATTTTCCTCTAGTCCAGCCAAGTAAGCTACACTATCACCTGACCAGTCCCAGAAAGGGCACCTTCTTTTGTTCTGTCCCAACAGCTTCAAAATTATGAGAAACCTGCTGTGAGAGTTGAATAAAGAAACTGGTATATAAGCAACATTTCCCAAGACAAAGAACGCCAAATGCCCAATTATTTACTTAGAGTCTCAGAACATGCAATCTTTTCCTCCTTTTCATTGGCAAGCTCTACCAAAAGTGCAGGCAGCCTTTCCTATTCTGATATCTGCAATTCCTCATTAGCCTTCGTATAAGCAAATGAAATCGGGGACATGAAACGTTTATTCACAGAATTTAATAAAATTCTGTGTTATACTGAGAATGACTTATGAGGATCAGCATTGACCAAATTCTTTTGGTCATTTGAAAATCTTATTCTCCTAAATTCTTCTGGTCATCTGAAAATCTTATTCTCCTCTTTTCTAGTATAAGCAAAAAAGGGCATCCTTAGCAAATGCCTATAAATTACTATTAGTTGTTTTTAGGACAGTGTGGATGAAGAGTAGTAAGTCCAACATACAAAGAATGGAGGAAATATAGTATTTCAAAGACAGTGGTTTTTACAAAAATGTTCTTTTTGCATCTTTCTTCATTTCATAATTTCAGTATAGTTGCTCACTTCTTCAATAAGCTGTGTGAGGTACTCTGAATATTACAATGTATTAAAATGTATTTTATAACAATATAAATAAAATTATAAAAAATAAAGTCTTCTTTAGCTATATCGTTGCCACTGTCAACAATCTATCCAATTGGGGGCAACACAGAACGTGGCCTGCAGTCAGAGGACCTGAGCTGAAATCTAGTCTTTGCTCTTACTAGCCATCAGACCCCGGGCAAGTCATTTAGCTTTCTTTCTTCAGTCTCCTCCTGTACAGAATGGGGATAAAAACATCTCATAAAGTTGTTTTGAGGAATAAATCAGATAATGCACACAAAATCTGATGGCATGGTGCCTGGCACAAAGAGAAAACGTTTTATACATATAATTGAAGCACAAAATAAACTGTCAGCTAGCATGATTTCCACTAAAGAAAGACTGGTAATATTCTTAAGTCTATTCTTTGAACTTGAGATTGTCATGCCTAGAAAAGCATAATCTCTTGTTCACAATACCACAATCTACTTCCACTGGGAAAGTTTATGAAGCCTAAGGGGATACGGTTATATGCATGAGAAGTAATTTTCTTTGCTACAAACAAATACATTTAAATCTATTTTAATACAGTGCTGACTATTACTTTCTAAGACTGAGACTGGCATTTTGTAGTTCCAACTTTTTTAAGGATCATTTACACTCATCCCTCTCAAAGTAAGGTAGTGACTTATTTTTTTTCCCTCCATACACCTGATTGTGATTTTTGTACATCAGTTACTAAGTGACATTTCCTGTTGTAGAAATTGGTTGTAACCGAGAGTCATCTAGTAGCATGCTTGCTCATCTTTAACTGAATGAGACTTTCTTGATTAGCGCCTTATAAAGATTTTCTTCTTAACTTTGGATTCAAGAAAACATACCATTTTTTTCCTTCAATAAATGTTAAATGTGTTTATTGTAGAAAATTTGGAAAATACTGAAAAATTTAAAAAAAGAGAGAAAAGCCACTTGTAATTCCATTACACTATTATAAACATGTTGTGCCATAGATTTTGCTAGTCTTATATTTATCTTTCTCTCCAAAATTCAAAGTTACAAGAATAGTTTTGTATCATACAATTTAATTTAATACTATGGAATGATCATTTTCCCATAAAACTCCATCATATGGATGCAGCTCCATTATTTATCCAATATTCTATCTTGGGATATTTAGGTTGTTTAAAACTTTTCTTCATTAAAAAAAGGCTATAATGAGTATCATTGTTTTTAAATCTTTGGATACATTTTTGATGATTTCCTATTTTTGGATTTTGATGGACTAATAATAAAAGAGGTAGATTATATAGAACACAAAAGGAAGATACTTGAAAACTCCTTCATACCTGGCCATAACAACCCGCATAATGAATAAGGCTTGGAAAATCCTTAGAACAACTCAATTCTGCAATGGCTTCTGTTTCGCTCACCATCCAGCGTACACACTCCAGCTGACCATTCTAGATTTAAAAAAAGAAAGAGAGAAAGGAATTCAAGTTAATTCAGGTTTGAAAAATACCTCAAAGATGGTAATTTATCAAGGAAAGAAACCATATAAATTTTCGCTTTTACATCTTTCTTAATTTATTTACAATATAAATATATCACCTATTGGGACTGTAAATTAGTGCAGCCATTATGGAAAACAGTATGAAGGTTCCTCAAACAACTATGGATAGAACTGCCATACAATCCAGCAATTCTGCTGCTGAGTGTTTACCCAAAAGAATGGAAATCATCATGTCAAAGGGATAGCTGCACTCCCATGTATACTGCAGCTCTATTTACAATGGCCAAGAATTAGAACCAACCTAAATGTCCATCAATGGATGACTGTATAAGGAATGTTGTATATATACACAATAGGATATATACCACAAACAAGAATGAAATTCTGCTATTTGCAGTAACATGGATGAACTTAGAGAAAATTATGTTAAGTGAAATAAGCCAGTCAGAGAAAGAGAAATACTGCATGTCCTCACTCATAAGTGGGAGCTAAAAAAATAAGTGAATTAAAAAAAAAAAAGAAAGAAAGAAAGACACAATAATCACAATAATTTGTTGAATTTTCAAAAGGAGAGAACAGAACTGAGGCCACCAGAGGTGGGACAGGGGAGGAAGGGTTAGTGAGAAATTGGTAAAGGGCCACAAAGAATGATTACATTGTGTAACGTTGAATATACTAAATATCCTAATATGAGCATCACATATTGCACACAGGTGCTGATATTCAAAGTTGTACCCCACAGATATGCACAATCAATTACGCTTCAATAAAAAACAAAACAAATCACCTATTATATTCTTGATCTGTGGCTTTGGCTCTAAACAAAGTACAGAATTATTACTTAAATACATATTCAGAATTTTAATCAGTTACTTAAAAATCACATTATTGAGGTATAATTTGCATACTATAAAATGCACCTTTTAAAAATGTACAGTTTGATGAATTTTGACAAATATATATATATATATATATATATATATATATATACACACACTCTTATAACTACAACCCCAATGAAAATACAGGTCATCATCCCTAAAAGTTTTCTAGTACCCCTGGCTCTTATCCCCCTCGACTTTGCCTAAGGCAACCACTGGTAAGATAAGATTTCCATCACAACAGATTAGTGTATGTACTCTTTTTTTTTTTTTTCCGTTAAATTTTTATTTTGTCAATATACAATGTATATGATTATTATGGCCCATCACCGACACCTCCCTCCCTCCTCCCTCTCTCCCCTCCCACCCAAGAATGTCCTTTCCGTTTGCTTGTTGTAACAACTTCAAAAAAGTATAGTTCTGGGCCGGCCCGGGGGCGCACTGGATAGGTGCGCCGCTTGGGAGGTGCGGCGGCGCTCCCGCCCGA